GTCATTTTATACCGATTCTACATAAATCTGAAATCGCTGATATCAAACTCGCGCTGATATATGCTGTGCGCTCCTCGGATCTTCACGCCCGTAACTTTGTTATCTCGCGAGTGGAATCCAGATGCGCCCGATATCCTTTATCACGTTCGCTCCGCACGCAACGAAAGACAATAATCATAAATGTGTGAGGTTAGGCCGACAGGCTCTTCGAAGGTAATAATCAAATAAAGGTTTAGGCTTAGAGCTCTACCTCCAGGAAGGAACGTGCCAGAGATACAAAATGAAATGCAGCGTTTTAGCACATACGGAAATTCGCGCAGAGCAAAATTAAAGTGCGACATTTCTATTCGCACATATTTCACCAAGGGAACACGCCTCTGCCACGCAACCAGGCGCCAACCATGTGGGCGTGTTATTGTCTGTGCGTGTGTGGAGCTTCCCCGATGGATCTATCCACTTAAAGCCCCCTCTCCCCTTTCCTCTTGTCTGCGAAGCCTCGGCGTCTGGCTCCTGCACCGACACCCAACGACACAGACAGACAGACAGACACCCGGCCCTCCCAACTTTCGTCTACATTAGGCTGTTATGCCATAAATAACTGGACCAACTCCGTTGCAGCGGGAACTTCATTGCATAAAACATTCCTTTATGACAGACGAATTGTTGTGGTACACACAAATAAAATAAAACGCGATGACAAACAAATAAATATACGACTTCCCTTAGTTACAAAGCTCGACTTTACGAACAAGTCCACCTTTTTCTTGCCGGAAGCTGCTCACACAATCTAAAGTTACGTTCCGGCCAAAGTTACATAATCCTGTAACCCGACGGGGTAAGAGCCCTGGCCAAAGTGAGGGTCCCAAATGAAGAAAAAGGAGCCACTCGCGCAGGTATGAAGAACATCTGCAGTCTCAACGAAAGTCCTGGAATTGCGACGGCCAAAGGAACTTCTCCCTTTATGTCTTCATTGCTACTTGTTTATAGACCACAAAGGAATTCAGAGTAGTGGCCGTATGATCTAGCACGCCCTCTGTATGCATTTGGAGGTTTAATATTTCAGGTCGTTGATTGCACACTTCACGGGACGATGTTCACCAGGGCTATTATGTCACGACCGCCAAGTGTAGTCTCGCGGCGATCCAGTGCAAAACGTATAATAAACTTTGAAAACTTGCTAGTAACTCGCCGACTCTGCCCTGTTATGTAAAGTCGCTAACTTTTCCTTACCGCTTGGTCTCGACACCGCAATAGAAAACATTAAATTAATGCCATTATTTTATAAACTTCCCTAACCTGAAGGCAAAATCCTGGACATTTAAATCTTTGATAAACAGCATTCTCTTCGAATGAATCTAGTGTAATATCTAAGGCGACATAAAATATATAAATAGATAAAAAGCCCAACCAAAACAAAGCATCTAGTGTCTCCCATTCAAACTCTTGCCGCACAATAGCCTAATAACAATAAAGCAAGGGGATAAAATTAACATCAACAAAAGACACAAACAAACTGATTACACACACACAAAAAAAAAATAGCAACAGCAAAAACTCGGCATCCCTTCCCCTCAGACACCCAAGCAGCGGCGAAGCAAAAAATCTATAATGCTGTCAAGCAATCCCACGCTGCAAGGCCAGGGCGCGGGCTGGAATCGCACCCACGCAGCCGTAACGTGAGCAAATATTCACACATCAAAGGAATCACCTCGATAACAGGCCGCGACTGATGGGTGCGGCAGCGGGTGACTGTATACATAAATAGCAATGGGGAAGGTTGTGTACAGGAGGATGAGAGCGCACATCACATCAATGATGGTCACATTATCATAGAAACGACGGCGGGTGAATATAACAGGGAGATAAGGACGGTCCCGTGAAGAGCGGCTAATGAGGACACAAAGCAAACATTACTGACTGACGGTGACTGCATGACTCATGGCGGGGAGATGGCTAATGGGCTCACAGCACAAACAATACTGGCAGCGTTCTATGCCTTAAGGACGATTGTAACGAACGAAGAACCGAGTGAAGCTGAGGATACGGCACATACAGGGGAACACTACAAGCACCGTAGAAGCAAATGGTGGAATCTGAAGCACATTTGAAGCCGTTGCTGCAGTTGGGGACGAGGGCAGATGCGGGCATGAAAGCGATTGATGTCAAATGGCGCGAAGGTTTTCAATAACAACGGCAGATACTGGTTCATGGAACAGATTACAACGGCGATTCTATTTACTTGTTATGCTATTCTGCTAAGTCAAATAACCGGAGCCTCCCTCTCACTGAGAGTTATTATCAACTTGTTAAAAAATCAATAGCATACTTATCACCAAATTTGAAGCATGCAAAGATTTCCTCTAAAATGTAGCGAACCTTGCTATAACGAGCTTTATAACAGCCTTATCATGATTTAGAAAAATTCTGCCCTGGAGAGTAAAATTGCAAAAAGAAGAATCAACTAAAACTCCGGTAAGCCATCATTTCTAACTATGCAATTAATATGTCTGCCAAGTCTCAAGCTGCCACTAATACCATGCAATTATCACGACTATCAAGGGGCAGCACAGAGCAATCAATCAAGACCAAAACCCAAATGAGGCGTCCGCTCTAGTATCGGAATGTGCTCATCACCGATGCCATCATTAGCAAATGCCATTCCCGCATTTCATCGTAGAGCTGCAATTCAAATATCCAGCGCCGTTACCATCAAAATGTCCCCCTGAAGCAGGGGTTCTTAACCTGGGGTCCATGGATGGGTTTTAGGGGGTCCGTGAGGATCAAATAAAAAATAACTAGTAATCTGCATTTTTTTTCTTTTTTTTGAGTGTTTACTTTATAGTTAAATGACACTTTGTGGATTTCATACATAATATGAAATCTCAATATATTAAGTACATTATACGCACTGCATGCAAATTTGTGTTTATGTGAATATTTCTGGAGAAGGGGACCATAACTTCCATCAGATTCTTAAAGGAGTCCGTGACTCTTAAGAAGGATAAGAAACAGTATCCTAAAGAATATCTAATGCAGTTACTTCTACCCTCCCCCCCCTTTAAAAAAGAATATCCACTGCCGTTACTTCGAAAATGCCTCCCCCTCAAAAAATTAACTGGCTTCACTTCTAAAACCCTCCCCTCCAAAAAAGATATCCACTGACATTACTTCTAATACCCCCCCCCCCCCCAAAAAAAAAAAGAGAATATTCATTCGTTGACTTTACCCCCCCCCCAAAAAAATAAATAGATAAGTAAATACATAAAATAAATAAACACATAACAATAATACATCGAATGAATCACAAACCTCTCTTTTTCATTAAAAAGAATATTCATTATCGTTGACTCTTTTTCATTGATTATAGCTTTCGGCATCTCCCTTCCGGCCACCAGCGACTACCGGGCACGTGTCCCGACGTAGCCGCCTGTTGCTAAGACATTTCTAATCGATACTGAATCCTGAGGTCATAGAACCCCAGCCGCGGGAACTTTATGAATTACTCAGGTACTTACAAGGTCGTAACAAACTTCCTATTGGGTGAGCGGACGCGTGTGAAAGTGGAAATACAAACCCCACAGGTTGCTTAAATAATGACAGTGAAAATATAAATCCCACAGGTTGCTTAAATAATGACAGTGAAAATATAAATCCCACAGGTTACTTGAATAAAACAGGACAGAATAAGTTAGATTTTGATTCGTCGTACTGCAATTTTCATGACATAAGATCGATGGCCTATTACCACACGATCATTGACCTAATCTAGTTCGGATCCATAAATAGTCTAGGACGCCCCGATGTACTTCCACAGCCATCCGACTGGCCAATGCATCAAGCGCGAAATTGCTTTCCGAAGTTCGTAATGCACCCTCCCTGTCCCCTATCCTAATGGGCGTCCGCCAGTCGTCCCGCGAAACCGTGACGTCCCCTTTCGCGCCCTGGCAGAGGTGAACAACCTTCCCCATTCACCTTTCGCGGACCCAGGAGCGGCGTCGCGAGATCACCCTGCTCCGCCCGATCGCCGTCGCTCGACCTGACAAAACGCATCGAGCAGTTGTCGGGGCAATGACCTTGTCGTGTGAGCTATTGCAGCGTCGTGCTGGCCGCTCACACCTCCCAGCGTACTGTACACCTCATATGAAATCGATGGTGTTGTCATGGAGGCTTGCCCGCCCCTCCGTACGTACGCCTTTGTGCTACGAACTGACGGCGCAGTCGGCGTCGTGCTTGCTGTGCAGCGGTTTCTGTTCGCGCTTGGCCTGCGCAGGACAACTACACTGAGAACAAAATTTGCATGTTTGTAGAAAAAAAATATAATAATAATAGAAAATAAGTCGGAACTTCTTGGCACCGTGTAGCCTATATGAGGCTATGTGCATTTCGCTATGCACCATATTTACTTTTTATATCTGCTTCATCTTCATCAAAAAGCAATTACATTCTAAGGACCAGACCTTAGAAACAGTCATTAGCAGAAAGTTGCAAGTTAGGTTTTCGAAACAAACAAGTTCACATACTCTCCATTTGCTCAGTGATACATGTATCGCTCGTCTT